TGTGCGCAATAATTCTGTTCTGATCTTTGTTTGGAACTATTTTCGTTGGTGAAATAGAACAAAACAGTCAATTGTGTCTAAAAATGTAAGTAACTTCGTATACTTTACTACTTGTTTGTTGAACTAAAATCAATGTAACATTTGCAATCATGAAATATTCAGCAAAATAGCTCGCTTGTCATGGTATGTTACTTGACTATATCATGCTATAAATAAACTAAACATTTTGAATTTTTACCTCAGTGTGTTTGTTCTGTGAGTTTCTTAATGTGTGCCGTTACGCTCATTTGATTTGATTTCTCCATGAAAGTCTCTCACAGAGACAGGCAGCACGAGCCTCAACAGCGCGACATTGATAATAGAAATACACTATCCATTATCAATCGCTGTTTAAGCTGAATGTAATAAAATCAGAAGAATCATTCGCGCTTTTTGATGCGTGATTATATTTTATTATATTTTGTCACTTAAGTTTTAATCAGGCTATTAGTCCTGTCGGGCAAGTACAATTCTCAAGCCATTTTTCAGTAAACTTGCATTAACCCATTTAAAGTAGTTCGGAGGCTGGACAGTGAGCTGGTGTTCGACTGTATTCTGTAACCGCAATTCTCTCTGATGACGCGGTAACTACAGCGGGGGAAAAAGTACTCTTGATGGACACTCACTGGGTCTGTCAGACTGGAGAAATGTTTGTGGTAATGTGACCAAAAATATTTAAGACCTACTGAATCTGAATTTAAGACTTTTTAAGGCCTTATTTTAGGAAAACTTTATTTAAGACATTTTAAGACTTTTTAAGGACCCGCAGCCACCCTGTTGTAGCCGGCGCCATAGCCAGACTGATAAACAAACACAGACAGGAAGTAAACTGCGGGCCAGGCGCGTGCGCCCGATGAAACCGTCTGTATAAAGCTTGAAGCATCAGAATCGGCATCGGCCGATCACCATGACAAGAAATCGGTACTCCGTATCGGCTGCAAAAATCCTGATCGGAGCATCCCTAATAAATTATGCAATGCAATTTAATAAGGTACAGATATTTGCTTTTAATTCTTTGGTTCAGTCAGACAGCAAATCATAAATGAAGTGCCTTCTGACTTCTAACGCCTCGGTCTACGTAGTGTTGTGATACGTCATATTCAAGTTGCAGCAGTGATTTGAGAACGCGCTTAAGAAACTGTTTGGAGAAGAGAAATCAAACTATATATAAAATATTGGTCACATATTATTGGTCAATTTCTAAATAATACAAGTGTATCACATCTACTAATAATTAAATATAAATAGTTTTTTTACCGATGCAAATATGTTAGAAACGATGCATCGCGATACAATTGTCAACTTGTAACTAGGGGCTAAAACTGCTATAGATAGTGGACACAAATGAGTGGCAGTCACTTACTGACAATCCTGTCAACAGCGTCATGGTCATCAAATGTTATGAAGGCGAAACCCCTCCTCTTATCACTGTTCTTCTCAGTCATGATGTTCACCTCGTCAATTTTACCAAACTGGCTGAAATACTCGCGCAGATGTTCCTCATCTGTGTCTTCTTTGATTCCGCCCACAAACATTTTTTTAACAGTGGAGTGAGCACCTGAATACACACACACACACACACACACACACACACACACACACAAAAAAAAAATAAAAATATATATACACACACACACACACACACACACACACATAATTAATTTACAAATATCAGTATAACAAATAACTAAAATTATTTAATTTGATTTTATAAACACAGGAACACAAACCGTAAGGTTTCTCAGAATGAACACCTACTTCTCTAGACACTGCCCTCTTGGGTTCAACAGCTCTTCCATCAACTTTGTGCGGACGAGCGTCCATCGCTGCATCCACCTCATTCACCGAACTATAGGTCACAAACCCAAAACCCCTCGACCTCTTTGTGTTGGGGTCCCTCATCACCTGTGAGCAGACAGGAGTAAAGAAAAGACGTAAGCAGCCTGCTCTCGTTCATTAGCATGTGAATGCATGCAGATGTACTCACCACACAGTCTGTAAGAGTTCCCCATTGCTCGAAGTGGGCCCTTAGACTCTCATCTGTTGTCTCAAAACTGAGGCCCCCGATAAAGAGCTTTCGGAGCTGCTCAGGCTCACGGGGGGTCTGTTGCTGTGAGATACATTAAACAATAAATACATTAAATGACAACTTTACACAAACAGCTCCAAATTTATCTAGCCTACCTATTCAAACAGAAACAGCATTTTTAAAAATTAGATATCTAGGCGTTTTTCCTGCAACCTTATTGCAAAAACACAAACCAGAGGAGCACTGAAAAACAAGTTTCTTTAAAGCAAAGGATGCAAACTGAACTACCTTGTTAATTTAGCAATATCAAACCTGCCAATGCTATCAAGCACTTCCCATACTGTGTCGATGAACTCGATCAGCGATGCAGGAGCGCATCTGCAATAGTGCGGCCTACAGCGCCACCACGAATAAAATGTATATTTTTTTAAAGCCGGTGGAAAAATACATTTACGCAAAGAAACACTGATCTTAGTAAAGCACGGATGAAAGCAAAATGAAGGGTTGAAACTATTCAAAACAAAGGAACTGCGTTTCAAATCATGTATCTACACGAGCCTCGGCTGCGAACAAAGAAACGAGACGAAGCCGCGAGGAAATTGGCGCTTTTACCAAAATATTATTTCTGTAATTAAATTATTTCACTCGTTTACATTTGACTTCATGACAATCACAGAATACTTAACAGTTATAATGCAATCCATATGCTAAAACCACAATATTTTCGAGGGTTTTTACCTCTTTGGACATGGCGGTCTCCCAGTGACTGACAGCAAAACTCGCACCGACTGTGCGCATGCGCAACCGCTGGCAGCGCGACGCGTTCTTCTTCTGTTTTCATTGCAGGTTAAAGACCAGCGTTCAAGGTGCATACCGCCACCTATTGTGTTGGAGTGTGTAAAATCATGGCTTTAATGGTTTCGAAAGGAAAACTTGAAATCGCATCATATGACCCCTTTAAATTCTCCTGATAAGGCCAGTATAATGCAAAAATAAAAACTGATGCCCTAACAACTTCCAACTGATTATTTAATAGCCAATTTCCTTACTGCTTTGTTAATATATGCATGAAATTATTTTCTACCCTAAAGTTCCTACAGTTTATTAGTACTTGCTTTACATTTCTTTTGCATGCATCACATTAATCTGCATTAACACATTAACCTATTTATTAGAAATGTGTTTTGTTATTGTGTCTTGTGCAGCCTAACCATAACCTTGTAGAAATTATTTATTCTCTTCTATTTTTACTTCTAAATACTATAGCCTTAATTGATTTTGTCAATGAATATTATAATATCCTCTGCCTTTAATGTATGCATCCCAAATCTTTTGCCAGTATTTGGCAATGTCGCTTTTAATTAGTTAATTAAATTAATTATTATTTATCTTAATTTTTTCCAAGGTGAATCTATATTTTGTCATTATGATTCAACGCTGTTTTTGCTAATTTGTCAGCTATTAATATACTACTGTACAAAAGTCTTGAGCCATGGTTTTAAGCCGTCTGTCTGGAATGACATGAAGAAACAGAACAAACTGAGACAGACTACAGTGCCGTGAAAAGGTTTTTGCACCCTTCCACATTTTAATATTACACAAAGATAATGCAAGTAAATACAAAATGCAGTTTTTAAATGATGATTTCATTTATTAAAGAAAAAAAGCTGTCCAAACCTACCTGGCCCTATGTGAAAAAGTAATCATGAAAGAACTGCAATTAACCACATTATTTTAGGAAGCTGAGTTAAATTTGACTAGCCACACCCAGGCCTGATTACTGCCAGACCTGTTGAATCAAGAAATCACTTAAATAGAACCTGTCTGACAAAGTGAAGCATGCTTAAATAGCAACACATTATGCCGCGATCTAAAGAAATTCAAGAACAGATGAGAAACAAACTAGTTGACATGTAACAGTCTGGAAAGGGTTATAAAGCCATTTCTAAGGCTTTGGGACTCCAGTGAACCACAGTCAGTAGTGATGGGAAACCGGGGTTTTCTGAAGTGTTTGAGGCTTTCATGAAATTATGCCGGAAAACGGTTCATTACTCGAAGCTTTTAACACAGTGTGCATTAGCGACATCAGGTGGTCGGACTTGTTTTCTCCACCATTACTGACAAATCATAGCGGAGCAGAGGATGGTTTGAAAAAGCATGTGACCAAACAAAGCTTCGGAAGTCTGTGACTGTGACATTCAAGAGTGGAATCAATCTGGGATCAATACAATATCTAATCTGATATAATCTCATCGAAATTAATTTGTGCCAATGAGACCACAACTCGTGTCATGTAGCCTATAGCTTGGTCAACGGATTCACATATCTGTTATATCACATATAGCTGAAAAAAAATATTTTGGGTGAGCTGTTATACCCTTATGTTGTGTTAGGGGTCTCTGAGACCATGGCGGAGCAGAGAATGGTTTGAAAAAGCATGAGACCAGGCAAGGCTTCAGAAGTCTGTGACATTCAAGAGTGGAATCAATCTGGGATCAATACAATATCTAATCTGACAGACCTATAATCTCATCTAAATTAATTTGTGCCAATGAGACCACAACTCGTGTCATGTGAAGCTTGGTCAACGGATTCACATATCGATCAATAATATAACATACACAAACATGTGATCATAATTAATAACTGACGTGGTGGGTAGCTGAAAAAAATATTTTGGGTGAGCTGTTATACCCTTATGTTGTGTTTGGGGTCTCTGAGACCCCAGTTATAAACATGATTAAATGTCCTACTGACAGCCCTCAAAGCATCAGGTGGGATCGTGAAGCACCAGTTTGTTCAAACCAGCTGTCCTGACCTTCCAATAGCCTACTGCATGACGTTCGAAGCTTCAAACGTCATCAATCACATGGTGTTGTCATTTCGATACAAGCATCGGCACAGTGTGTGATACAATAGTGGTTTGAAAACTGCGTCGGAGCATCGGAGCTGCGGTATCAATTGTCCAATCACTAACGGTCAGAGCCATTATCCACAAATGGAGAAAACTAAGTGGTGAACCTTCCCAGGAGTGGCTGGCCTACCAAAATTACTCTCAGTTTGTCACCTCAAGCTCAAGCGCACTTGGGTTATGCAGCAGGACAACGATCCCAAACACAAGTCCACCTCTGAATGGCTCGAGAAAAACAAAATTAAGGTTTTGGAGTGGCCAAGTCAAAGTCCGGATTTAAATCTGATTGAGATGCTGTGGCATGACCTTAAACAGTCCATTCATGCTCGAAAACCCTCCAATGTGGCTGAATTCAAACAATTCTGCAAAGAAGAGTGGGCCAAAATTCCTCCACAGCGATGTGAAAGACTCATTGGCAGTTATCGCAAACACTTGATTGCAGTTGTTGCTGCAAAGGGTGGCACAACAAGTTATTAGATTTAGGGGGCAATTACTTTTTCACGTAGGGCCAGGCAGGTTTGGTTCATTTTTTTTTTCCCCCTTAATAAATGAAATCATTATTTCAAAACTGCATTTTGTATTTACTCAGGTTATCTTTGTGTAATATTAAAATTTGTTTGATCTGAATCTTTTAAATGTGACAAAAATACAAAAAAAACACACAAAAAAAAAAACAGTGAAGGGGCAAAAACCTTTTCATGGCACTGTAAATCCAAAAGAACTGTGGCAACGTCTCCAAGATGCTCGAAGAAAAGTACCTGCAAAGCTTCAGTACTTTGAAACGTTTTAGGCACTTGTGTAAAAATGCTGCACACAGCAGTGTAAACATTGATTACACCACGCGTTCATCTCTGCTCATTCATATCTGCTTTTAGTGGTCATTTTGCAAATGTAGAATATTTATTTTGACATTTGATACTTTTTACACGATTATCTGGGAATGTTTAGTTTTCTTGGTTTAAAAACTTAAGAAACTGATATGAATAAAAGATTAAAAATATCAAAATCAACTCAAAGCTACAGTAACTTGTTTTCAACTGAAAATGAGCAGTCATTCTGTTGATTTTCTTGCAATTGTGTAAATAATCAAATGCAAATCAAGTATTTATCCTAATTGACAGCATTCATGAAACGGTAAGCGAAACGTACCCAGACAACCTACTACTTCTGCATAGATTCTGACGTGTGCATCTGATGGACAACTAGGAGTTGGGAATGGCAGGGAAATGACACAAATGTTGCTGTAGGTCACATGACAATAACAACATTACAGACGACTTCCTTTTGTTTGGCTAAAAACTTCTGTTTTTGTCTTTGTTTCTGTTGTTTCTATGACTGTTGTTTCCTAATCCTAACTTTGTTGTTATTAACCACACATTGGATCTCATTTTTTGTATGCGTAACCTATCCTAAACCCTCCAAACGTGTTGCTCAAACTACTAGAGAGAGAAAAAAAACAAAACAAGCCAAACTGCAATGGATGTTTCACATTTCTGAACCTTTTTTTAATGCTTTATGAATGTTTACCCAGATTCCCAGCAGCAATGCAGCAGCCATTAAGAGGCTCTGCTTTAGATATATTGCCTTTGCCATGCCATTGGCCACCAGCATGACATGCGTGATTTAATGCTCACCACCTATTGGCTGAGCTCTGTCAGGGAAATTTATTGGCATACTATGATTTGCTGTTGGGCCTCTTTGAGGTGAATTATGTCCTTGGTGCTGATAGGACACCAAAGCGGTGTCAGATTACAGCCATAAAAAATAGTGCAGCATAAAGAGAGGCAAACACGGAGGTGCATAGAGGTGTAATTTCAAAGTCATGTCACAGGGACGAGCATATGACTAAAATGTAGTGTGCAAAGCATGTGAATAACACAAGCGCCTTCTCCTCTCTGAGGCTGGCCACTTCCCTCATTTTATTCTGATGTATGTTCCAGTGACTCTTTCTATGCCTTTGAAATGTTTTTTTTTTCACTCAGTTTTACAATAACAGCTTGCACAATAAATATTGGCATCATTGTCAGATATTAGTTAATCTGTAAATACAAAAATAAAAACATTTGTACCTAATGAAAGTAGACAATTTTAAGTGGTTCTTTGAAAATGGTTCTTAAAAAGGTGCTGGAATCCTTGCATTTGTACTGATTTTCTTTTTCTTATTATTATTTTTGTTCCCTAAAAGTGAATGTATTTTATACACTGTAAATCACACAGACTTTACACTGTAAATCACAGAGACCCCAAACTTGACCGGATAGTCCCAAACATACCCAGACACACATCTGTTCAACACTAGGTGGTGCTATAATAAGACAATTTGTGTTTTGGTTCTCTGGAACCAGTGAAACTAACATCCCTGGTTCCCGATCATTGCCTGTCACTGACTATGATCTCGATCTGCCCAGGTGAACAGCTGCTCGCTTGGTCCTGACCTCCATATCATTTCGCCTCTTCTCTCTGCTCTCCCATTTGGATTTGGATGCTGCACAAACAAATTACCCGGTATTGACCTTTTGCCTGTCTGTTTCTTCTTCTTGCCTTCCCCGAATTCTCCTCCTTTTTAAAGAATAATACATATTGTTTGACAAGTTTGAGTCTTGGTTTAGATCTCAGTACATTACAGAATCTTTTGAAAGTATTAAATGATCTGTTACTAGTTGTCAACTAAAACATCTGTTGTTTTGGTTCTTTTGTATCTAAGTGCAGCCTTTGAAACTATTGATCACTCAGTTTTACTGAAATGTCTTGAGCAGCATGTTGGCATTAAGGGATCAGCTTTAAATTGGTTCTCATCCTGTCTTAAGGGGAGACACTGCAGGCAAAAACAGTTTTTTTCATACACCTGTCAAGTTTGAGATTTTGGGCTTTTTGGTTTTTCATAAAGTGTTTTTTTCAGACTAGTGCAAAGAAAACATC